GCTTGCAGCAACAGATGCAATGCTTTGGTTCAACAGAACACAACTGAGCAACAAATGTCAATGTTTTTAAGTTAAAAAGAGAAAGAATGAGGGACAAAAAAAAAAACCCAAAACAAACAATTCAAGATTACACTGACAACATTAAAAAAGGTCAGTCCAAAAAATTCATCTTTGTCTTCTGTTTGAAAATCAATACACAAAGTCCAAGGAAAATACATTCTCATTCTATAAACCCAAAACTTTTTCCACGTACAACAACAGCACCCTCAATCCTTACGATACCTGCAATCAGATCTTTAATTACAGAAACAGACCTGATTGACTCAATTCCTAAAATTTAAGCAGGTATCAAAATACTCTCTCCCACCAGTGCTTAATGTAAATATACAATTACCAAGAGGTTATGACTATTTAAAAGTGTAAGTGCAAAGGATATACTCTGCAAAAATGTACCAGCCTGTAAGCAATACTGTGTAAGCAATGTGCAGCTTTTCAAGCAATTTTCTGGAAATCCAGAAAGAAGCAGCTGGGCTTTCCCTGATTTAAACAGAAATATGCTCATCCCTAAATGGTGCATTTTAAAATTGTGTGACTACTTAGTCACACTTTTAATTCTAAGGTTTTTTCTGTGGCTTACAAAAAAAACGTACCAGGGCAAAGCCTGAGAAACTGAATGCTCTCGCTGAAAAACCACATGAGCAGAAGGGAGAAATTCAGAGCTCAAAATACCTTGAGATCCTTTTTCCTATTTGACCTATAGCTCCTAAATTGTCTCTTAAGTCCTTCAGCATCATCTACAATAAATTTCAAGCTAAAGGCAGGGAACCTTTCTAAGGCAATGGAACAATTCTGATACAAAACACATAAACTGGAAAAAAGCCTCACTGCATGTTTTGGATATGCAGGAATCTCTGCCTACTTCCAAGTTTAACTGAACATAGAAGACTCTTTCTCTTTAACAGAACCAAGTGTAAGTGCTAAAATTAAGACTGTACAGCTGCACCCACCACAAGTCAACACCCGAGAGTTGGATGAGCCATATTTTCACAGCTATATTTTTCACCAATTTCTTTCCTAAATGCTACTGGACATCACATCTGTTGCAAACCACTGTAGCTGCAGGTAGAGTAATCATTCTGGAGAATCTGAAGGTACACCTGTGGCTTCAGCACAAATCCACATCTTGAACACAGAAGCCTTTTGTCTTCATCTTCTATTGGGTTTGACAAAAACTGAACCTGGCTCTCTATTGTTACATATAAAATAAATATAAATGGTATCTGTGCAGAAAACCAGATATCCTAGGAACTTTAAATCCTGCATTTCATGATTAATGAAATTAATTGTGTAACTTATAGTCTCAATTCTGTGACTTATGAGAATGAGAAATCTTATATATCATGTAATGCTCTTAAAGATTTTCCACTTGAGTTCACACCACTGGAAAAAAGAGCAAGTGCCAACACAGATGGGTATTGGGCAACTTCTGGACAAACTGCTGTAAACTTTCATCCAGAGTTAGAAATCCTATACTAACTTGGAAGAAATTTGTGTTTCTTCAAGTGCAGTGGTTTTCTTTCCACTTTTACTGGTCACACCACCCAGGAAGAATGTGTAACAGTTCAGGGGAGCTAAGAAGAAGGAGGAAAAAAGAGGGAGCAAATATCGAACTATTTTCTTGAAACTTTAATGAAATTACAAAGTCATTGCTACAAACAGCAGAGTGCAAGTAGCATCAATGTTAAAACCATTCATTTAAAATGTTAGAGGGAGCGAGAACACGGGGAAGAACAAGTAGCAACTCTGCATTAACAGCACCTGCCCCATTTTCCATTCCAAAAGAGACGAAAATGATGAAACTCAGAGAGAAAACACAGAAACTCAGGTATTTTTACAGTACATAATTAATTTCTTGAGCCATGAGGATCACACAGCCTACACTGCAGTGACTGGGTTATGCACTCCAGCACAGGAACCACGTTTGGGAGCACATCAAGGGGACAGGTTCTGTCAACAGTGTAACCTGCAGAGTAACTCCAGCAGTACTGGGGTCCAGGGCCCCAAACTGTCTACCTGCAAGCTGTTTCTCCTCACAAGCTGCTATATTAGTCATGTTTGAACAGGTGGTGCAAACAGCAGGCCTTATATAGAAAGGCTTAAGAAACCCTCATAAAGTAGCTATCTTCAGCTGAGATAGCTTTGCCAAACTATACTTGGAGACTGGGCTAGAGGATTTTGTTCCTATCACATACTGAAATTAAGGGGGGGAAGGAGGAGAGAACTGGTTTAGGTGGTTCTGAAAACAATAAAAAAGAATTTGGCCGTGCAAACAAAACCTGGAAGCATTTGCTTTGAATAGCTCTGTTCTAAGATAGACCTGAAATTTGGCAAGGATGCAGGCGAGTTTGTATCAGGGATGTATCTGTCCAAATTATAAGCTTTCAGGGGTTAAAAAACATAATATAAAGGCTCAGCTCTCCACTTTGGTTTGAGGATCTACAACCTCTCCACTTTACAGGAAGGTAACATCTTACAGCTTTCTGCAGGTTTGAGTACAGAACAGCTGCTGCATGCATCATCTTCTTGACTCAGATGTGTGAAGTAAGTAAGATTTTGACTATACAAAGACAGCAACTCACAGTAGATATTGTGGCTGCTCTATAACAGCCACCCAAAAGGACACAGAATCTGTTACCATTTCTGAATACTATTTGGGAATACTGAGTCCTTCGAAAGACAAGTAATAGTTCTGTAATTGAAAGAAGTAGAAAGAACAAAAGAAAAAGAAACAATCACATGTATTTCACAATAGACCCTCTTCTACCTGGGAAGTCACTCCAGAGCAGCTAATTCCAATTCATCTATCCCAGTACTGGTGAGATCTAAAAAAGCAGTGCTAAGACTGGCAGGGAAGAAGGTCAAAAAGGTTTTCTTGCGAAGTAGGTCCCAGTGCCATGGCTTACGCTCTCAAATACTTCACAGCAACTCCATTCACTCACAGTGCACTAATCCTCCCTTAAAACCTCTTCTTAGATATGTACTCTAAATTTTTATTTTTAAAAAATGGTATTTAAAAATAAGGACTGGAGAAAATAGCATCCCTGACATGGTGAATACACAGTCTTTTACCTAACCTTAGCTTTTTGGCTTTTTAATAAACCACATATACGTCCACATATGTCAGAGCCCACATATATGAACATGGAATATATGTCTGTATGTGGGCTCTGACAGAGTCGTACTGGATGGGAGTTTCATCCGCATGAACCATGGCAGTTTTCTAAAAGGCTTTGTTCTTCTGGCTTTCAAGTCCATTATATTTTTTGCAGTCCTTCTGTAAATTTTAATTTACAACCCAAGTGGCTGTTTCTTTTTATTACTGTGTTAGCCCCCTCTGAACTACATACAAATTGCAATATGCCATGGAGAGGAGAGTTTGCAAAAGCTGCTCATTCTGACCTGTACTGGCATTGAAGGCCATTTTCATGAATCTGCTTTACTAGACCTCTTCTCTAAATTGTAAATTACAGAATCATTTAAGTTGGAAAAGACCTCTAAGATCATAGAGTCCAACCCTTAACACTGCCAAATCCACCACTACACCATGTACCTAAGTGACATATTTACACATCTTTTAAATACCTCCAGGGATGGTGACTCAACTACTTCAAATACTACAAATATTTTTAATAATATATGAGAATACACAAGGATATCAGGGAAGGCAGCCTTCTGCATGTATGGAACTCCAATTCTCTGGATCATCTCCTCTAACTTCAGCTGTCTAAATACTGAGATAGCATTGTCTTACTTCTCCATTTCAATGATAGAAACTGTAATCTCCAAAATATCATTCTTCCCATCCTAAAGAGGCTCTTGAGAAGCAAACTCAACTCCTTAGGTGCATGTTTCTTCCTTATACAGGGAACCTAAAAGCAAACTGCCTCAGTCAGCCATCAAAAGTTAAATATCTGAAGTCAGGGATATCTACTGAGACCAGAGGTCTGCTGCTGTAGATACAAAAGAAAGATATGGGCTATGTCAGGAAGAATGTGATAAGAAGAGAGGAAAAAAACAACAACATAAACTGGGTCAAGAAACTGTTCAGGTATAATTTTAGCAATATCTAAAATTAAGAACACTGCTGTACATACTAGCAGTCTGCAAGACAGCCTCACACACCTCACCATCAAATACTGCCCCACAGAAAGTAACAGAAACGAGCAGATGCCATTAATGTGCCATTCGCACCTAATAAAAGACCTCAACTTGGATTTCTACCCCCCCCCTCCTCCCATACGTGCTCGGGTATTAACACAAATTTCCTAATTAAAGACTTAAAGGAGGCAGCGACGGCCAGGCAAAAACCAAGTTATAGAGGTTTTTCTTCCGCGCGATTCGCCTGGGACCAGAGACGTCAAAGGAGGCTGAAGGGTGGCGGGACCTGGGGGAGAAGGTGGGGCAGAGGAGAGGGAGAGAGGTTGCAGGGGGGACAGAAAGAGGGGGAGGAAGCGGAGTGCAGGGGAAAAGAAGGGAAAAAGGTCAAGTAGAAGAGAGCGAGGTTAGGGGGGACGGAGAGAGGAGGAGGAGGACGGGCGGATTGTAGGGGGACGGAGTGGGGCCGGGGGGACGCAGGCCCCCTTCCCCGCAGCCCGCCCGGCTCCGCGGGCCGCCGAGTCCCCCGCCGTGCGCCGGGGAGATAAGGGGACGAAAGAGCAGCAAAAACAAACAACTCAAAGAGCGAGGGGGGACGGCCGGGAGCAGAGGGACCGGAGCGACGAGGAGACCCCTCTCTCAGCGGGGCGGGGGTCGCGGGCCGCAGCCGCGGCACCGCCACAGCCCCGCCACCCCCGGCCCCCACACGGCCTGCGGGGACTCGGCCCGGCCCCGCTGCCCCCGCCGCCGGCCCTGCCTGGCCCGGCCCCGGCACGCAGAGTGGGGGGCTGCGCCCGCTCCCTCCCGGCCCCTGGCACTCACATCGCCGCTCCCCCGGCAGCGCCGCCACTCCGCTCTGCTCCCCTCGGTTCCCCTGCGCCCGCCGGGCGGGATGGGCGGTGCCGGGAGAGAGAGGGAGGGAGCGCGGCGACGGGAGCCGGGAGGACTCAACCCGCGCTCTCCTCCCCCGCCCTTCCCCACCTCCTGCTCTCGCCCGCTCCTCCTCCTTCACCCCTGGAGAGGCGATCGCTCAGCGGGAGCCGCTCGGACAGGGAGCGGGAGCTGCCGCCGCTCGGTGAGTGCCGCCCGAGTCCCGCGCGCGGGAGGACGGGGACGCTCTGCCCCTTCCCCCGCGGCGGAGCGAGCCGCCGGGAACCGCGGGTTCGAGCCCCGCCGCCGGCAGCGCCCCTTGCCGCGCTGTCCCTGCCCCACCGCGCCCGCGGGAGATGGGAGGTGTGGGGAGCAGAGGGGCGGTGATGGGGTGCGGAGGGGCTGGGGAGGTGGCGGGCCCCGGCCGGCTGGCGGTGCGCGCCCTTGTGTGGCGGCCGGCGGAGCCCCGTCCCGCAGGACGCCCCTGCCAACTTTCTGGGAGTTCTGCGGCGCGTGTCTCGGGAGGGATGTCACTGCGTGACGGCTTCGCCTCCCCCTTCTACCCGCTGCCCCCGGCGCCGCCGCCCTGCCCTCCCTCCCTCCTCCTCGCCCTGCCTGTCTGCCTCCCCGCCCTATCTCCTTCCCTCCCTCCCGGCCGTCGTGGGGCATCCGCGGCGGGGGAGGGGGACGGGGGGTGAGCCAAGGGGCGCCGTCCCGGGGCGGGGGGTACGAGAACGACACGGTCGCGTCCCCGAGACGCTAACCCCAGATCGCCTCCTCCGCTGCTTCCCCCACAAATACAGCTCACCCCGGGCTGGTATTCCACACCACCACCTCCGCCCCCCCGCCCTGTATGACTGATCTCCCCACGGTTCCGCGAAAAAAGTCCTGTTAATTCACCGGCTGCAGCTGGCAGCCTGTTCTCTACAGTCACGCACAGGGGTGGAGGAGAAGCCTGCGGAGTGAGTCATGGCTGTAAGAGGCCCTCCGGTTGTTTATGGCAAAAACAGGGGATGGCTCATTCAACATGTGGGAAACACGGGGAGTAGGGAGTTGCCTCGATCCATAGTACAAGGATAAGGCAGAGATACCTGTACATCCCACCCTCCACCTCAGCTTGCTGTCGAGCTGCCTAGGAAAGGAGGTGGGTAGATAATGTTGCTTTTTCTTGAAGGAGGGCTTGTGGTCAGACTGTCATAGCTAGCTGCAGGAGTTATGCATTTGTCAGCATTTCCATTATAAGTGTAGTTTTTATGTAGTTTACAACTTGGTTATAAAAATATGCACTGGGTTGAAATTTGGTTGACAGCCTCTTCTGCAGAAACATCTAAGCAACTTTTGAAACGGTTCTGTTTAGATGCTGAGTGGAAATACAGGGAAAATACTAGCTTTGTATGTATGTTTCTTTGAACTGTAAAACTTAGCTCCTTACACACATGGACACATTTATAGCTGTTAGTCCAAAACAATTCCTCCCCCCTCCCCGAGTTTGTTAAACTCAGAAGAGTTGAGAGGCTTGGCCTCAGTAGGCATTCATTACTCATTAATTAGGGCAGCAGAGACTCTGAAGACTCCCAAGGTTCCTGTTGCCTTGCATGAGGGCACCCACCTACAGAAGGGATGTGGGGCACCACGAGTCTGCACAACCCTGACCCTCGAGTGCCAGAACAGTTCCAGTGTCTCAGCACTGTGGACAAGAAGCTGAATAACACCTTTCTCCGTGGGATTTTTTTTTTTTTTTTTTTTAACCGTACCCGTTCAGTTGCTGTCTTCTGAGACGGGGAACAAACCCAGTATTTAGGAGCTTTCGTTTGTATACCTCTGTATATGTACGTCTCTGGATCCCGTGAAACATGTCTGCCACCCAGTGGATGTCGCTGACCTCTTTACACTGTTCTTTACATTTACTACCTCTCTGCCCTGCCCATCCCTACCCCGTCGGTGTTAAATTTGCAAAGGAAAGTGCTCAGGAGTTGTAAGAGTGCCAGGCTCATCTGGCTGCCGCGGGCCTGTGCGCAATGATGGTGTCGGTCGTGACGGGCCACGTCCTTCATGGCCAGCTTGGGTGATGAATCAGAGGTGGACCTCCAAGATGTAGCAGCTCTCTGGCTGGGCAGCAGTGAGAAGAAGTAACATAAATGAGGCAAATAATTATATGCAGAGGGAGATGCAGCGTCATGCCTGAGACAGCTGGAGAACTGGATTTTGCCACCCCTGCCTTTGCCAGAGGATTTCAATATAAAGGTTTTCGCCCATGTGCTGTTGGATTTTCTCGGAGCCTGGCCTAAGTCCCTGAGATCTTCTTCACAGTTATGCTGAACTTATCCATCTGGAACAAAAGTGAGCAGTTGTGTGCTGTTGACATATAGAAGATGTTTATAGGTCTGAGCGTGTCTAAAATACAAGTTTTGAGTGTCAGAATTGCTCGCTCAATGTCTATAACTTTTTGCTTTAATCTTTTTGTATCTTAATTTCCCATATTAAAAAAAACATGGATAGCAGTATCCTTTATCTTACAAATCACTGTAGTTATGAGAACCATAAAAGAACCCGAGAGAACAGAAATAATTTCTTCTGGGATTTAAAGTGTGTGGTGATGCTCTAGAGAACAAGGGCAGAAAGAGGAATTTATCTGTTAATTATCGCAAAGCTTCAGTGGGGAAAAAAATGTGACCAGGTCAGTTGCAATTAGAAATTGATCTCCACGTGTATTAGCACTAGGAGACATTCTTAGTTACCATAGACCACTTAATTCTAATAATTCCTAAATTCTCCAGTATTTGTCACGTTTTTAATACTGCGTTCTGTAACTTCCTAGGTTCTACAGCCTTTAGAGTTTGCCAGAGATACACTGAACACATAGCGTTTTCCCTGTTCTTGTTCTAAAAACAGCTCAAGTGTTTCAGCTGGGTTCTTGTAATCACGGTCTGCGTCTTTCTGCACCCCTCACTCAGAGGTAGCCTCTACAGCACATGGAACAAAGTTTAGCCTGAGGCAGACATTCAGCTTGGAAAATTTCAAGCCAAACAGTCAAAGTCTGGCCAAGTTACAAGCAGCTGGAAGCAGCATATTGCATTGGAAGTGTTCAGCAGCTGCCTAATAGGCGATGCTACAAGCTTCACCAATACTGTGTATATGTTTATGTACATGGAAATACACTGCTGAATTACAATATTATTTGATAGGTTACCTGGTCCACTAACTGTCAGGCAGTTGATTCTGATTTTTTTTTTTTTTTTTTTTAACTAGAGAATGGAACCTAAACCTCTTTGGTTAATGGTATGAATGCTTTTCCTTACTCACATTATTCATTATTGTTTTCCTGGCTGAAAAATTGAAAACTTTAAAATGGAGCCTCTGAAATAAATGACAAGCCGGGGCTTACTCATTCTGAATCTTTCAAAATGACTTAACGATTGTTAAAGACCAGTTTACAGTAGAACTAGAGCAAATTGCTTCCCAGTGTTTTGAATTGTAAAAAACCACATCTCCCAAATTCCTAAGCTATTCATCAACTGTTCTATTGTAGCAGACTCACCCTATATTGTGTCCCTGATATATCTATTAACTCTGCAGTGAAGTGTGAGCTTAAAACAATTGTGCCATGGAGTCACTGTGGAATAAATACCACAAACATTGGCAGAGTTGCTTCATAAATCTTTCTTAGTTTAGAGAGGAACTTAGGCGTGCCTTTTTTCTATGGGAGTGCAGCTGTTTCTTGTAGGGTTCCCTGGGGGCTGGATCTTGGTGTAAGGCTGGTTAATATCAATATATTCACAGCTTTTATGATGATACCACATTGTTACCAGTGCATTACGTACAGGTTTGTGCACATGTGGAGCAAGTTATTGGCACGCTGTACTCCAAATAATTTTTTTAAATATTCAGTATCCAGAAGGCATTTTTCATACAGCCACATACAAAGGAACCAGGACTGTGGTAACACCAGCAGGATAGTCAACTGCGTTCAAACTGGTAATTTGAAAGAAGGCATGAGAATTTGTGTGATGAATCGTCTCAACAGGAGTTTTCATTGCAGTGCTGCAACTGCAGTGTGGTCTTTGGCTGTATAGCAATATAAATATTGCACAGAAGTAGGAAAGTACGTGGCATTAGTAAGATCACAGGAATTCCATGTCTGGTTCTGCTGTTCTCACGTGAGGAAGGATGTGAAATATTAGTAAGAGTAAAGTGACAGAAGTGTCACTCCAGAATTTGGAGACCAGTTTTAGATTGTACATCTGAGAGAGGAAATGATGCCTAGATATATCATACACCTGTGTAAGGAAAGTACATGATATTTACTTGACCATCCAGTGTCTGAGAGACGAAGTTAGGTATACTGTTCCTTGAAATAGTAAGTAGCCATGAGGGCAGTAAAGCACTGTAGTGGATTTGCTGTTGCTGTTTTGTTGCTGTTTAAAGTGAGATGGGGTTTCCTTCTCTAAGATGTGCTTTAGCTTGCTTTGGTAGAGGACTTTTCCAGTGTGTGTGTGGAAAGGGAAAGAACTGTGCTCCATTCACCTGCATTCTTCCCTAGATTGAAAAACCAAGATTATTTGCAGTGCCTCCTGTGTATTGTACGTGTTGCTACTTAGGCAAAAATGAGATTAAAATGTCATGCTTCAGAACCTGAATGGTTTTCTCTTGGGTCAGGAGGACTGTTTTTTCTTGGTGCCTAATTTGACTTCTGGGATTATGATTAATTATTGTGTACTTTCCTCCAGAGCTTCAACATCTGGTGGCAGCTGGAGACAGAATATCGGATCCTCGTTTACAGAGTCCCCTCGTATTCCCAGGTTGGTGTTTCATCTTTCTTTGTTCAGGATGCTGACAGTTATATTCAGGGATGAAAAAATTTTCCCTGCCATTACACAAGCAAGGATGTTGCTCACCATTCAGAGGTCAGCTGCTCAGTGCTCTCCCTTAAGCACCTCTCTGTCCTTCAGGCACGCCCCTCCTGCTGCCAGATCTCCTGTGCAAGCGGACAGAGACAGAATGTGTGTGTATGGCTTGGCAGCGTAGTACCCCCGGCAGTCACTAAAACAAACGTTACGATGGTGAAATCATTTTGTAACCTGAAAAATGACTGACTGCTTGAATCAAGTTGAAGCATTACCTGCAATGCTCCTCTTCAGGCATCTTCACAGTAAAGCTGAAGGTTTAATTTGGCCTAGGAATTGCACTTGAGCCTAGATGGCTATGAGATGATGTTCTATAATTCCATAGTCAGTTCTTTTTAATACAACAAACAGACACATTTTTTTCCTCTGGCAGCTGAACTAGAACAAATATACTCTTAAGTGTAGAAGTATTTCTTTCTGTAGAAAATTTATTTTATTGAACCTACTCTAGGGTAAATGGTATCAAAAGTTTGATGTTTAGTATTTAACACAGTGGTTTTGATTTGGGTTTTTGATTCACACTTTAAAATATCCTAGGAATGTTTTAAGGTAACAAATTGCATTTTCTATATAAGATGAGTTTACTGCAAGTTTTCTTGTTGAGGAAAACCGGAAGATGAGGAGATCAAGTTCTTGTAAATCAGGATATTGAAAACATGAGTGTTTCTGCTGACTTGGAAATGCACAAGCACTAAAGCACTGCTCTCAAACATGATTTTAAATACACTTTCCTTATCTGCCCTACTGAGATGTGCATGTTTGAGAAAATAAAGACAGTACAGCCTTCAAGGGTTTGGCCCATATGCCTGTTGCTACATGTATTTGAGTTAATGATAATGCACTATTGATTTCTGGGACATACGGGATCCAACTTGATAAAAAAGTACAAATCAGATTGGATCATTTCAGTCTTGAAGGGCTGTAGTTAGGTTATTTAATAAATTTCTTCTCAAAAAATGGCAAAAACAAAGAACCAACAGTAAGTTTTGAATTCTATTTTGATGTTTCAGTAGTTGCATAAAACTTGATTTGATATGGAGGTGATAATGAGTATTGCCACAACAAGTGTGTTTTGAAAGTGAGTCATGAATTGTAGTTTGCCACTTTGTGACATCTTACTGTGTTTGTAGTATTTAGTGAGTTTGAGTTCCTTCCTGGCTGTGAGGTGAAACAACGTTTGAGGCTGAGATTAAAGTTTGCAGGATTCTTAAGTGGCCAACATCCATTTTAGGGGCATATCAAATTTGAGCATAATATTCTTAAATGGTTGAGCTATATAGCTTACTGTTCATATGCGTAATAGCACAAATTGTGTGTGTGTGTTTGTGTGTATGTGACATTTATGCACCCAGACAACCAAATTAACAAAGGCTGGAAATAGTAGTAAGACTGTTTTGTTTGTCAGGTTTGGTTTTCTCCTTCATCACTGCCAAATGTAACTATAATCAGTATAGTCAAGAGTTAGTTTTTATTGAGTGTATTACTCTGTACCTGCTGTGTGTGTACAAACTTTCCATGTGGTCCCTAACCCAGCGCACCTGTGACCAGTGAAGATGTAATTTTGCCACTCCCCAGAATTAATTTAATTGCTTTTGGAGTGTGTTTGGGATCTTTGAGAAGGGGGCATGAGCTGGTGGTGAAGCAGTGGAACTGCTGGTGGAAAGTTGTAGGGTTCTGCAACTTGCTGCGGACTTTCAGAGACCTTTTTCAGGCAAGGGTGGAATTGAACAGCATCTGTTCTGTGCTGTTTAATTTTGTTAAGAGGAGAAGTTCAAGGAGAAATAACAGTCTGTTGTTTTCAAGGTCTGACATTTATCAAGAGAATTACAGCAGATATGTTTGTTTTGAGGGAAACTGAAAGAGCGGACTTTGTCACCAGTTTAAACTGCTGAAGAGGTTAGCAGTTTATGCTACCCTGTGTCATGGGATTTGGTATTTTTTAAGATAAGTGACCGGAGAAGTGGTATTGCGGGGAAGAGAACAACGAGACTAGTCAGAAAAAGGATAGTGACAGTAGTTAGTGTTCGTATACTGCTGTAGGAATACTGACTGATCCAACTTTCTTGCTTTTGAATCCAACATCCAATTATGTTGTAATAATAATGTGTTGTCTAAGGAACAATGAATCTCTAGAGCATAGTCCATAGCTGTGATGGTTGCCTATCTTCTTCATCACTCCCCAGCAGCTTGTCATTCCTTTTCTACCTGTGTTTACTGCCCCCTAACCTGCCAGCTGAACACAGGAACCCTTCTGTTTCTGCCAAAATTAATTTGCTTAACTTACCTGGTTAAAATAGTAGATTTATTTTACTCAAAATGGACTGAGGAGCATAGGTGGCAAAGCTGTGAGAGGTTCTGGTGACTGTACCGAGAAGCTGCTGGGGGAAGGATTGAGGAAATTAGTGCTGTTTTAGTGGAGGTGTTAGAAATGAGATGTGTCTGGAATTTGTAGAACTGTAAGGCTTTTTCCAGCCTTGTGCTGGCAGACTTGTGCCAGCATTTTACTTTTATGTTTCCTTCTGGTAAAGGGAAATTATACCACCATGTAATTTTGTGCAGAGAATAGGTCCCCCAGCACCTGCTTACCTCCACTGACGTTGTGCTGAGCTCTTTTCTTACATATTTGCATATCCATGTGCTCTGTGCATCTGTCCTTCACTGGATGACTTTTCAAGCGAAATCTTCAGCTTGAGCCACCGAAAACAAACCTAAAGGGGTTTTTTTTAGGTTTTCCTACTTAAATTAATTTTATGGATTAACAGCTTTGGTCTTTAGGATTTGTAAAAATATTATGAAGAATTTTTCAAATTCAGCTTTCAACTGTTACCATTACAATCATTACTGATGTAATATTTTAATGAATGAATGAACTGGCTTCTGACCATAAATATACTAGAGCTATGATGGTTAGAAACAGAAATATACTTTTATATTCTTTGCAAATGACCTTTTCTGAAAATTTTCCAGGACACATCTGTTGATGCTAAATGGTTTCCTTTACTTTATTGATACTTCTATCATTATTATGCTCTTTTGGGAGGGGAGTGGGTTAGTGCCTACAGAATAACGTTGAGTTTAATTCATCACCCACAGTGAGAAATTTGCATTCCTCTCATCCAACTTAGTGGACATTTGTTTACTGAAGGATTTTTTGGTGAACTTTTTAAAAACAAAGTGTTACCTTTTACTAAATGCAATGAAAATGGACTCAAATCCAATGCTGCAAACAACAGACTCAAATCTGAACACTGCTACCAAATAACATTGAAGAGCAGTTATCTGTATTCACAGCTTAAATTTTTTTTGCCTTGTTCTTTGAACATTGTGTTAGCATGATGTAGTTTTGAGGAGATGAAGAGCAAAAATTGTCGACAGGCATTTTTTTCACCTAATTAATGATCAGATTTTCTAAGTGAACAGTAGCCATCAGTGAAGCACTGAGTTTTTCCAGCTGGATGTGACCAAGAACTCAAGCTCAAGATCTTCCAATTCCTTTAAGTCTGGGCTTACTTTGCTGTGCTTTACAAACAAGGAAGAAGGTACAGAAAGCCCCGAGCAACTCTGTGGGGAGTCACATGCTGTTATTAGCTGGGGGTTGGTGCCAGTGATCAGATCCAAGCAGAAAGTGATGGGGAAAGTGAGGCAATATGGCCCCATCAGGGATGTGGGAAAAAAGAGTATATCAATTAGTAGCCTGCCACCAGCTCTGTTTTATCTCTGCAGTGATTTTTTTTCCAGAGGATTTCAAGTCTTTGGGTGTTTAATAAAAGTGAAAGTAAATGGATGACGAGTAGTCATCTTCTCGGGTCTTGTGCAAGCACAGCTAGCAGAAGTGTGTTTCTGCTCTGCTTAGTCAGAGAAATTGTGTGGATGGACAGGTGTTCAAAGTCAGTGATTCTACCCCTCTGTGAGATCCCACCTAGAGTACTGGGGTGACATCCAGCTCTGGGGTCCTCAGCAAAAGAAAGACATGGACCTGTTAGAACCGGTCCAGAGGAGGGTCACAAAAAAGATCGGAGGGCTGAAGCGCCTCTCCTACAAAGACAGGTTGAGAGAGCTGAGAGAAGAGAAAGCTCCAAGGAGATCTTTTCATGCCTTCCCGGTACCTTAAGGGGGATGAGGGAGACGGGTTCTTTATGTGGGCAGACAGTGGCAGGACAAGGGGCAGTGGTTTTAAAATGAAAGAGTGTCAACACAACTGCTGAATAATTATATGCTGTTTTCCCCATTCCTCTGTTTTGTTTTGTCAGTGTAGATTAACACTTCTGTGCTGTATTAACTCTGACCTGCAGATCTTCAGATCTTCAGCCTTTTCTTTTCTGCCTATAAATGTGGGTTGTTCCTTGGGCATTTGTACCCAAAACGTGGTGTTCTCTCCTTTGTTTTCTCCCTGTATGGTATCCAGCTGCCATTTCACCAAAAATGCGAATATGCATTTTCTGATGATGCAGGTAGCATTTTTCCTGTTTGCTATCTGGTGTTGGTAGTTGGCATTTAATGCTACAAGTGATTTTTTCAATGTGCTGTGTAATTTTGCTGCAAAATTCCTATACCTACAGATCTGACTTTTGCCTCAGTGGTGCACAAATGATATGCTTGTGTAGCTTTGAAAACATTCACTGGATAATGTAATATACTTGACAAGAAAGGGGAAATTTAGTTTATTTTAGTATGTAAGGGAAGTTAGTATATTTTCAGAAAGTAAGTAGAAATAGTGTATCTAACACTGTTGTAATCACCTGGAACCACAGGATACCTTGGATAGATTGTTTGGGATCTTCTGGGGAATTGACAGCCTGCTGCATGCCAAGTAAGGATTAACAATAAAAGAATTAAAGGGGGCTTGTTTAGGGCAGGGGATTTCCATTTTCTCCTAAAATGGAGTAGCAGGGAGTAAGCTGCTCCTAGCTTGTGCAAAGCAGCAAGGGATCATATCCTAAAACCAGCAGGCCCGAGGATCAGGGCAATTAGTGGAAAAAAACCAAAAAAGTAATTTTTTTTGCTCTTTCTCCTTCCTGAGTGAGATCATTGACCGCTGTCTTAAGGAAAGTTGTTTTAATTATTTTTATTCTGAATATTGAAATTAAAATAGTTTGATGTTACTCTTCAGTTACTCACACAGGAAGACTTCTTTGACCACAGTCACAAGTGGTATATTTTTGTCTCATATGCAAAACTTGAAAACATTTCTAATGCATCTTGCTAGAATGGGGAAGCGTTAAAAGAAAAAGTTCAAGAAATAAAATCAGTTATAGAGAAGCTGTGGATGAAACACTCTGAATTTAGACTGCCATCCTAGAATGTGAGCACTCCCTCAAATTAGGTATCTGTCCGTTGGTGGTAGAGGGATTTGAAATCAGTCCACTCTAGTGGGATGTTTTCCAGAGCAGACATATCTTTAAAGCTGATGGACCCTCAGTATATGCAGGACAAAACTGATTATAGGGTTAAACATTTATAATGAAATGCTAAGTGGAAAATATTAAACTGAAATAATAAACATAAAGGTATTTATAGTACTTTGAATGGAGTCTCCATGACAGGATACTTGAGGAGAATACCGAGCTCCTTCCATTAATAACAGCATGTTCTCTGTTAGTAGAGAGCAGGAGGAAAATCACATCTGTGAAACCCTGCCTGCCATAATGCCTTCTTGTTCTCTTAGCCTCTGGTTCCCAGTTTTGGTTTCAGGCTACCTGAACCACAAAACTAAGATGATTCCCAGGAGGCTATTGGAAAACACGTCATAGTAGCACCAATTCTCTGGAACCAAATCTCCTTGCCTGTGTTCAGTGAAGTCTTCTAGGATATGTTTGACTACTGTTCCTCACTTTTATGGGCAAGTGACAATAGCAGAGGTGATGGCTTGCTTTCTTGGACTGACCTACAGGATTGTAATCTTACTGGATTTGCTGGTAGGACTGCTTGTCTGGCTGAAGATGAGCTTAGAGATGGAAGCTGCTGTTTGTGCGACTCAAAATGTAACTGAGAGATCAAAATGTTGTCCTTCCAGCAGCCAGTTCACCTTCCCTGCAGTGCCAACCTCCCCACTCCTCCTCCTCCTTTGGTCTTTATTTTTAACTCTCTTCTCCATGATTCATGTATTCACCAATTGGTTAATGTAGCATGTATTTGAATAGGTAAACCTGCTACTTAAAGTATTATTTCCTGAACAAGCAAGCAACCGGCTTGTGTTTCTAGCTAACTGTTCTTTAATAGCCAGGTCTCTACCTGAATGAGTTGCAAGGAAAAATCGATTCATTTACATGAGCTTACTTTTTTGCACAATTTATTTTCTTTCTGCTGACTCTTCAAATTACCACTTTTATCTTTTTCCATTAATTAGAGCAACTGGAAGAGCAGTAATAAACATGCTTTCCTTCTCTTTGTGTTCACATCCTGAGCAGTGCAGAAAAATACCCTGTTTCATTCTTGTAAGCATCTAAAATATTTGTGGAACTCTAGCTCAACATTTTTCTAAAAATGATGTTTATCTGGATTTCCTTTAATTCCATGTACTTGGTCTGCAACCATACAGGGAGTCAGCACAAGTGTGTGCAGTAGCCAGTGTGGCCTGCATAGGGTGGTGGGATTGAAAGGATAACAAAAATGGGAATAGAAGCAAACAGTTTTTCATCTGACTGGAACAGTGGAAAACCTTGCAGCAACCATCCCAACATGTGCAAATACTGGAAGCTCCTTTTGTTATTGTCTAAAACACAAATGTGAATAAATAATTCCCTGGTACTTCTTTAAGATATCAACAGTAATTTCCTGTAGCATGGCTGACTTTCTGGGACTGCGCAGCCTCCGCAACCTAACTGGTCTTTAAAAGAAAAGTATTAAAAAAAAAAAAAAAAAAAGGCAGCTGCAGAAGTGCAGCTTTGGGTCCAGAACTGTCTAGCTAAGGGCGGTGCCTGGCTGTTCTCTCTCAGGAGAGGGTTTGATGGGGAACATTACGATCCCTCCCCCCTTCCCTCTCCTCTCGCTCTGTATAAAGGCCAAACAATAACAGCAACACTAACACCACCGTGCTCTAACTTTGGCGTGTCTGTGTGCTTTTCTCTGGGTGTACCAAATACTTTATCTGTGATTAATAGCATGTCTTGCATAGAAACTTCTACAAATCTCAGGTTCATTCTTGATTTTTATGCTGATAAATACAGACATTAAAAAATCCAGTGTGAACACTGTTGGTTTTTTTCCTCTTCTTCCCAGTATCTGTTTATTATTCATGAATGTGTTGCAACATCCAAAAATGTAATGAGTGACTCACAGAATGAGAAGAGGAAAAAATACAGTTATAGCTTTTTAATGAGGCTTCCTCAGTAAGCTACAAAGTGTCCCAGTTAAGAAACCACTGACTATATAAAACCCACCCAATACTTGGTTTTATCTTCCTTCTGGGTGTATTTGCAACATAGTGTCACTTGGTATACATGTCTCTTCATTCATATGCCTGATTTTTTTTTTTTTTTTGGTCTTGTATCAGGGATTTCAACATTCCGACATCAAAAAGAAAAACCACAGAACAACATGTTTACAAATGGTTCTGGATTTTTGTGTGTGTGTAAGAAAGGAAAAGAGCAAAAGCTAAGTGTATGACTACTGGTGTAGTATCATCTCTAATAGTTTCAAATTGAGCTTAGGTTCTTAAAAACTATCCTTTCAAGGACTCCAGAGCAAATAAAACCATCGTGTTAATGCAACACAGCTATACACAGAAGGACTATACTAGTGGGGGATCTGAAGCTTGTGGGATGATGTTCAGTACTGTTCTACTTCAAGAATCAAAACTGACTTTCTTTATGGAAAGGTTGTTTCTTACTCTTGGAAAATCTAAACTTTTCTTTCATTCATGTGTTTTTGTATTTTAGCAGTATGTATCAAAATTACTTCATGCCTTGTATCCCCTCACCTTTGTGTCTTTCTTGCACAATAGTGGGAAATCCGTATTTGTTTAAAAGCTTTTTTTTCAGTGCAAATCTATAGAAATAGATAGGCAACCAAATACTTGTCTTTCATACCAGCTGTACACTCAAGTGATCATTTCCTTTGTAAAGTTAAGGATCTAGAGTAATCTTACTGCAGTCAGGCTTGCATTGCCTTGTATGTTATTGTATATTATTTTAAAGGAATTTTCAGGGCTGGCACATGTACTGCATGAGAATTCGAGATAAAACCATGGTATTGCTATGGCCTTGCTGGTTCTCTTGGGATATTCAGTAATTATTACTATACAAGAATGAGTTCATTTTAGCTTTGTTTTGTTGCAAGTGTGTTATAGTGAAGTGCTCTGTACATAAAATAGTGTTGCCTTTACAGTGCAAAGCTATACTTGGACCTTAATTAGAGCAATACTATCTTCTGCCTTGTTTCAGAAATGGTTTCTGCCTTTTCAAGCACCCTTTTCGAGGGTCTTCTAGATTAAAAACATAAATTCAGATAGACTTACCCATGTAGATTTCTCTGTTTCCTTCTGATTAGTTGCCTTATTTGTTGTAGGGTCCATGCTGTAGAAGAGTCGAGAAGCGATAGTCAAAGATGTAAGGAATGTTGGCCTTTTTGTTGGCCAGATTCGTGACTCTGAATGAAGAACTGGAGAGTAGCAAATTATTAGTGAGTTGGATTTCAGGATACAGGAGTCTTAATTGTCTGTCTGACTATGGTTAATGATAACATTAGGTGAGGCATGATGATTTCTCCTGTCTGTCACCTGAGAAGAATGGGTAACATTGCATGTATTTTGCAAATATTTGCAGACCATCGTTTAATTATTTTTGTTTCATGATTTTTGTGGGGTCTAAAACTCACTGGGAGAAGAAATATAGGATATAAATTTGTCTTGTCTTTATTTTAATTTCTTAGCTTGACTTGCCTTAGAGCTGTGGGTTTACAAGTGTGACTTCTGTCATACGTACTGGCAAGGTTATTTATAGGATGTTAAGTGACTTCCAGTGCACTTTCCAAAAACAAACAGGGAAGTAGCATGCAGAGGGAAGGCAGAACAAGAGCTAGCTCAGGTCAGAAAGCCGTGGGTTAAGCAGCACCTCTGTCCCTTCTCTCTGTCTGGAGCATCCCCCGAGTAATGTGCTTTTTTGGGGGGGGGTTTTTTTGGTGGTTATTGTGCAACCATGTGAGTCTTACGGGTGAAAATTTACCTGAGTTGTGGCCCAGTCTAATAGTTCAGTACCACTCACAGATGGAGGTCCCATGTCCTTTGCTGGCAATGCTCATCGTAATCTGAGCTGGTTCAAGAGCAGCCAGTGTTTCCCATCCACCCCAGTCAGCTTTCTGCTGAATGGATTTTTGCAGTTCTTTCCCTCTAAAGCTTGCTTGTCAGTAGAAAGGAGAATATACCCACATGTTAAACCATTCTCAGAAATACCAAGGAGCATTACTTCTCAGCAGAGGCAAACCTATAACAAAAGGAGGAAGGAAGGAACTTGAAAGAGCAAGGAAAAGTGGCTATATAAGTAGATTTTCCTAGAGGCTTGTCATCACTGGGATGTGACCTAGGAATACCTTAGAGATGATCTAAGAAGAGTTTTTGCAAGGCTGTACAAGGTCAGGGGTTTGTAGCTGTGTGGGATGTTGATGTGCAGCCACCTTGCCGAATCTGCCCCCACTAGGAAACACTGGAGGCAAAGGTCAAAGCATATAATAGATGAGGTTAAAGTTGCCTGGTGCTTGGTAGTGAATCCATTTAATTTTAGACAACCTCTTTTGCCCCTTCTGGTACCAAGGCATAATTTCTGGAGGCTTGTGCAACCACAGACTTAAGAAACACTTTCATGTATATTTGAAAGAAGATGACATTTACTATCTGAAGGATTCCAATTAAGCACAGAATGGCCAGGATACTTTCTCTCTCAACTTTTGAAAAGTGTGGTGGCCTTTTCATATACACTTTGTTTGCTACCACCTTTCCTTTCCTACAATTCAACTCAAGTTCAGAAGACCAGCACAGTGAAAAAGTAAACTGCTTACTCTCAAATTCACTGTGCTCTACTTTCAGCCTATACTCAGCATGCACTAAAACAACACTGAACCATACCTTTAAATTGCAAATTAAGAACTGATAGCTGCATGGGCTGCGCTCCAGGTACCTGGAACCCGGAGTTCCACATTTTTTCTTTGAGGTGCTTTTTTATCGAAATCTCTGGAAATATAAATCTGTAAATGGGAAACACTTGTCTTAAAAATATCAGAAGTGTATAGCCTGAATTCATGATTAAGTTGTTAAATAACACAGTCATAAGAATTTTTCTGTACCTAATGTCCTAGCAGAGACTTCCCTTGGGGATAGGAGTAAGTTACCTTATAATTTCCTGATGCAATTTCTCCGCGTCTAAATGTTTAGGTTATTATGCATCTGGCAGCATTAGAAACCCACAGTAGTGTCCCTCTGTGTTTTATGTGGCACCTACCACAGTGGGAGGAGCTGGTCCACAAACCCAAAGTACCAAGACAGTAATGCCATGATAGATGTATATTATATTTATTATATTAAAATGTAGCAGTAGCATAGCAGTAGCAGTGCTACTGGTGTTTCTTGGTGACTTGGGTGAAGGCTGGTTCAAGTGTTGTCCTTCCACACACATACAGTGTAATCTTGGGTGTATCCATTGCTCAGGTGTTCTTTCCTGCCATGCTTGTAAATGGGATTGTTAGAATTTCCTTCCTACAGGGATGCCTGAGATTAAATGTTTTGCAAAGCTTGAGATACTGGGATCCTACAAAAACAAATGCAAACCAGAAGTTCCTTAAATCAGATTTATATCCAGTCTTGAGGCGGACTTTGATGAGGCCCCAAGCCTGTGCAAGGTGACTGTATGAGCCTGAGCTGAGAGCAGGGTGGTGGGATCTCCTCTTGCAATACTGGAAAGGAGTTAACAGCATCTCGAGCTACTTTAGGAATGGTACCATGGGGTTTCACATAAATGGGGGCTTGGTAGGGCTTCTCATGTAGTGAACTTGTACAGAATATAACAGAAAAATAAAAAACAAAGAGCTTTTAAATTTAATTTTTCTGCTCCCTTCAAGACAAAACAAAGTTTTCTCTTCCCCAACCCCCATCCAAAAGTGAAAGCTGAGCACAGTTACAAACCTCCCTCTTGGCTTGTTTTTATGAGACTAAAATATATGTCTTTCACATGGGGCAGGAAACCTCCAGTGCCCATCATTCTGGTCTGTCCTTGCATGGCTTCAGAGTCTCGTGCTGCCCCTTGTGCAGGAGTGCTGCTGTAGTCCACCCCTTTGCCTCCTGGTGAAGCATCCAGTCCCACCCCATCCCATGCCATCCTTGCAGACCTGTAAGTTTCAAAGCCTAAAGCAAAGGAGGGCAGCAATTACCAAACCAGGCTGTGAAAAGAGAAGCAGCTTGCCTGGGGTCATGCTTGAGGCCAGCAGAAGTGAGAGCTTCATCCAGATCTCTGCTACCCCAAGGCTTCTTGGCTGCACTGCTCCCCTTGGGGTGTGATTTGGCCTGTGTTTCTCTGGGAGCTGGGGCCAACAGCAGTGTGAAAATTGTAGTATGTGTTATTTATTTATTTATTTGTCTAGTCTTAACTTTTCTGCTGGTGGGTTTCACCCTCTGCCATGCTGCTCGGCTGCACAAATATTTGCTCTGGGAAGCAGTGCGGAGAGTAGCTCGGTGTGAGGAATATGAGGCTGGGATGGAGTAGAGGACTAAAGCTGTTTAAATTGGCTTGAGCTGTGCTGTTGGTCAGTGTCTAGCTATGTCTTTTGGGCAAGCAGTGATCTAAGTTTCGTGGAAATACTCATCCCAGCAATTGGGCAAGGTCACTTATTCTTCAAGCCAAAATTATAATTATCAAGAAACCTGATGTGGTTCCAGGGATGAACATCCACCTTCATTCTCTCTTGCTAAATATGTTTACATTTTACATATGCTTTTAAGAAAATATGGCATCCATATTTAGCTTAGAAACAGCAAATATTTTCATAGCTTGTGCTCATACATCTCGACTAAATTATTTTTTTCAATTTAGTTGATTGCCTGGATAAGACTGTGTTGTTTCTTTCCCCTCTAAAACATAACTATTAGACTTTCTTTAATAATTAAAATGGCACTCTCCCTGTGCCAATGTTACAGTTCCTTGTAACTGCTGTGCACCTGGGTCAGATTTCTTCCCTCCACACCCCATGATTTTGAAAGGGTTTTGCAGCATAAGAAAAAAATGCTTTTAGGTGTAAGATTGGATTAGTCTTAAGTTGTTGGAGAGAAGGAATATACATCTGTTGCAAGAAGGGGAAAATATGTAGGGACTAAAGTAATAATGCAGTGCTTCCTCCTCGTGGTCTTTTTTCAGCTGAGAAATACAAATGAAGACGTTTTGATAAGGAGCTGTAGTGAAGATACTTTAGTAATTGATGCCTTTAATCAGTAAGTCATAAAAAATGTGCTGCTGCTGCTTTTTCCAGATCTTCCACTAAAACAAGCTGCAAAAATAAGATTATAAGCTACAGCTAATAAAATCGTACATGGGTAATTGCTCTTTAAACAATAAACTGGGACGTAATTTTGCCTTAAAGTGCCATGCAGGTATCATAGGGACTAAATTACTTGAAAGTAACCCCAAAACTTTCTTCTTCGTAATTAATATCTCCAACTACTGGTTATGTTTAATGTCCATAAAACTGTGAGTTTTGCTTAGCACATTTCTTGTGGGACTACTGTTTAATTATTACTGGGAGTGTTAATGACAGCTGCGCTTAAGCATATTGGGTTTGTTTCAGTGTGTTTGCTAGAAGTCGTTTCAGGCTTTTACTCAGATCTTCCCTTCTCATTGAAAGGTTGCCTCTTGCAGTTACACCCTCTCGTTTGCTTCACGGGCTTGGGTCCTTGTGCCATGCCTTCCCTTACAGCCAGAGTGCTGCTTTGGACTCTGCTCTTCTGGAAATTTGTGGAAAACCAGTGCACATGCCACCTGCAAACAGAGCATGCACTTACCCTTCCCACAAACAAGGGGGATGTACCTCTGTCCTCACTCTCTGTGCCATGTTTTTAAGACTACATGTCTGTCAGGCCTTTCAGAGTGCCCGGTGTGTATGCAGAGTCCATCCCAAGCCTTTACAGGGCTGTGGGCTGGGTAGCTTTCAGAGTATTGTTTATTAGGCACAAAGGTTTGTTTAAAGAATATGAAAAGCATATCAGAAATTTACCGGAGAGGCTGAGAACCCTGGCTCTGGCATTGGCTGCTTCTCAGTGCTCCGTTGGACACTGTACTTTAAATTTCCCTGAGCAATGTGGGCCCTCCTAAGTTTCACTTCTTTTCCACACCAGTTTGACGTGAGCAAGATGACATTGGTATAAAATACCAGATGTTCCACAGAAATATGTTTGTTTATTTAATTTAGGATGAGAGGAGAGAACATAAGCTGCTCCAGGGCAGGTTTAGGTTTGACATAGGGAAGAATTTCTTCACAGAAGGGGTAATTAGATATTGTAACAAGCTGCCCAGGGAGGTGGTGGAGTCGCCATCGCTGGAGGTGTTTAAGGAAAGACTGGACGTGCCACTTAGTGCCGTGGTCTAGTTGACATGGTGGCGTTGGGTTAAAGGTTGAACTCGATGACCTCAGAGGTCTTTTCCAACCTAATTGATTCTGTGAATTATTGCTCACGAAGGGGACCGGGGTGGGATGTTTCGTAAGGATCCGAGGTGCGGGCAGCGGCGGGGAGCCGGGCGGGACGGGAGGGCCCGGCCGCGCTCCGCACACGAGGGAGCGAGGCCGAGCCGAGGCGGGTCTCGAGGCCGCCGCCGGCCCCTGTCCGGCCGCGGCGCTGCCCCTTCCCCCGCACCCACTGCCGGCACGGCCCGGGCAGCGCAGCGGGGCCGCCGCCACCTGCGGGCCGGGCCCGGCGGAGCGCCGGCCGCCGCCCGGGGCGTGTCGTGTCGTTCCGAGCCGAGCCGCCCGGCCCCGCGGTGAGTCACCGGCCGGGGCTCGGGCACCACTTCCCCCTCTCGACAGGAGCCATTTTAGCTGCACGAAGCTGCGGGGAGGCCGGGGCGGCGCCGCGGGCCCCGCGGCCGGGCGGTACGTGCTCCCCGGGGAGGGAGAGCCGGGCGGGGGGGGACGCGGCGCCCCGGGGCTGCTGGCGGCGGCTCTGCCGCCTCGACGTGCGGCCGCGCCGGGGGCAGCGCTCCGCAGCCGTCGGAAGAGCACTGCGGGGAAAAGGGAACTTCTGGCAAAGCGCAGTACCGGGGGGAAAAAACTCAAAATATAAACTGGGCCGTGAGTAAAGAGACATTTCGGGGCAGCAGCGCGGTAAGCTGCCTGAAGCTGGAGCCTCTTGCTGCGGGCAAAGGGCACCCCGGCTGCCACTGTGCTGCTCTGAACAGCGTGCTGCCCAAGTGTGGCAGCTGGTTTGTAGTTCTGCTGGGTTTTATAGTTTTGTCGCCTTTGAAGCTTGCGGAGGTGTCAGGCGGGCTGCCGGCCCGAGCCCTCCAGCCGCCGCTCAGCGGACTGGACAGCAGACGAATTTTATTTATTGCGAAGCTGCGTTTACCTGGGCCCGGTCGGCTTGGAGCAGAGCACGGTACAGAGCGATTCGGGCTGTCAGCGCTGCGGCTTTGGGCACCTTTGCTCCACTGCCGTTCGCCCGGTGTGGTCCCGAGGCACTTTAAAATGGCAGGCTTGTCACTGCAGAGACCGATCACCCTCTGCGCCCCCGACCTTGCCTTGGGGTTCTGTTTCTGCTGAAACAGACTCGTTCAACGGCGGCCGCCGCGCTGTTTTAAAATAGAAGTCGAGTTAAGTTGTTATGTGGGCAGGTACTCACCTTTTCCTGGAAATGATTAAGAAATTAAAGCAATGGGGATGGTGTACATGGCAGACCAATTATAAAATGGGCTTAGCGGTACTTTTAATGGGAGAA